GGGCCGGTCCGGCCCGCTTAAGCCCGAACCCGTATGGGCCCAATAAAACCCGCAAAAACACAACCCGCTAACAGCCCGGAACGATAACCGTACGGGCTGATTTTTTTTGGGGTACAGCCCGTCCCAGCCCGCCCGTTAAACACCTCTAATGCAGACCTTAGACCTGACCCTTACCGAGTGCAGGTAAAGAGTCTGTTTCTGATAGCAAAAAACATAGCAGTTTAAAAAAACAACTGGTGCTAGCTAGAGTACATCAAAGGAACGTCTGATAAAATTTTGTACAACTGAACAGGCAAAACTCAACTAAAAGCAGCAAAAATAAGATTAACACCACATAAATAGGGTTGCTCCCACCCCACAAGAGGCTACAACTTTTCCCAACTACTCAAGCCAAAAAAGTCATTACAAAAAAGGCACAAACGATCAAGAAAGAACCTGCTGAATCATATCGATTATATTAGGCATGTGATCAGAGACACGAGGTTCCACTGAAGGAGGAAGACAGTGAAGATATGCCATGTCTAGGTGAAACTCTTCACAGAAGCGTTTGCTTAATTTAATTGGATCCTCCCTCAGTTCATTTGCTCTAGCAATAATCTGCAGAATTTGAAACTATTATACTCAGCTGTCCTGGCATACATATGAACAAAGTAGTTGAAATCCTAACCAAGTTCCATGGCTACAAGAACCTATAGTCGTCAATTGTGACATGAATATAACATGAAAGTAATACTGGTATATTGGGTTTGAGATTGAATAACCAAAACTGCAGAAGCTTCAAACTGCAATTTATTGCTTAACAGATAACATTAATGATTGCATGGATGTACATCCACAAACCAAGAAGAGAATCTCTTCTTGAGTGGATAAGTTCACAGACTTCTGAACAAACAGTGATAAGAAAAGAGGTCTACTGCATGATGCGAAGCGGCTAAATTTAAATAAAAATGGCAAAGAACGAACTTCAATAGACCTTGAAGAAACAAATTTCTGTGAAGAAAGTAAGATAAGTGGGAAATGTTGTCACAAGGATCTAGCCTTTCTCAAAGCACAATGCAGGCAATGGCAGAGAAGATAAAGCTGGAAAAAAAATATATAACTCTTGAAAGAAAAACGGTAGCTCACCTTATCATCAACATCGGTGAAGTTCCGGACATAATTGACCTCATATCCCAAATAATTTAGGTATCTGCCTAATATTCCAAAAGAGACAAAAGCAAGAATATCTGATTAGTTACTCAAATCAAACTTCTGGACAAATATTTAGGAATCCACAAATAATAGATAGCAAATTTGATTTGGTTCCCAAAACAACTAAGTTCTAAGGTTGAAGTGAAATGACCTAAAAATCAATTTTCGTTTAAAACTCAAATCTCCCGGACCATCATCATGGAGGGATTAACAATTCTAGTTTCCCTATTTTTCTATACCAGCATGCAACTTACTTCACAGCAGCAACTTGTACCAGATACTTTTCACCAGGATAAAGAAAGTGTTTATCAACATTACTTTCAGTTACCTGCCTGATTTACACACAAATACATACATATAAACACAGAATCTCACAATTTTCTATTTTACCAATTATAGCATATCGGTACCAGTGGGAGTCTCCCATACAAAAGGTAATTGAATCTCACTGTCCCATTTTCCCTTCCCGTCACTCTGTTTAATAAAAGAAGTTAAAATAAAAACATACACAGCCACAAACATGAAAATGTATTTTATATACTCTCTCTCACACACACACATATTTGAATCTCACTCTCCTTTTCCCTTCCCCTTTTTTCACTTCCCCTATCCCCTACGCAATAAAAGAATTACAAAAAGCATACAGAGACACAAACACATAAGTGTTATACACACGTACTTATGCAGGTATGTTTATATATGTGTATGAATGTGTGTGTGTGCACGTGCGTGCCTTTGAAATTTTACCTACAAAGGTCGGGAAAAAGGAATTTTGTCCAATTGGTTGGCTACCTGAACATTCACCTCGTTATAGAGATTAGATTCCGCACCTTGTAATCCCCTTCCCTATTTCCCCTTTAACTTCCCACTATATATAATAAGAAAAATTAGAGAAAGAAAAAAACAAAGGTTGGGAAAAAAAAAACTAAAGATGTTCACTTTATGACATAGCTTACACAAAAGATTAGGACTTTGATACAGAAGTTACCAGTTTGAAATTGTTACCAACAAGATGTGCACTTTCTAAATCAAATCTTAGTAAAGTTTAGGACTTCAGACAGATATTGAAAGTTTGAAATCGTTATATACAGAGATGTGCATTAATAAATCAAATTCTAGAAAATATCAAAATTTGGGTATAGAGGTGAGAACTTAGGTGATTCCCTGCACAGTTGATGTATAATTGTACTTTTCATAGTAAATAAATAGCGGCAGAAATTCGTAAAAAATAAACATATTAACACGTATGTAAGAAAATAAAGGTGGTTATTGGGAGCACCTATAAAGAACATCAAAGCTAACATAAACACGAGCATGGCCGATATGGCTGAGGTCATACGCTGTTACACCACAGACATACATTCCAACTTTTCCCGGCACTTTTGGTATAAATAGTTCCCTTTGTTTGCTCATTGTGTTGTGTAACCAAAGTTGTTGTTTCTTCAATTGAGTTTCTGTTCCGTCACCGTCAACGGCGGCGCCGTTACTCTCTGTTATATTCACTTTATGGTTTGAATTTTCTGTTGTACTCAGGCACCGAACCCTCGGTCGGTTTCTGGCGGCGGCGATGAGCGTTTTAAAGTTGTGGAAGCGAACTGGGAGACGTGAGATGCGGGAAGGTAACAATGGTTTATAGAATTTTAACAGCGTCGCCATTCAGAGAGATGAATACGACGACCGCGACGACGACGGCAGAGGAGGAGGAGGAGGAGAACCGGTGGCCGCCGATTTGTGGAATAGCTTCGCTCCGAGCGAGTGGTGGTGCTCTATCCGCAATTTCATTCTGTATATTAATGTTTTGACCCTTCTTAAATAAGGAAAGTTCGATTTGCCCCTGTAGTATGGGTTTAGTACACATTGATAGCTAAGACTTAAAAGTTTGCCATTAAAGAAGTTTAGGAAGGCTGAATACATACAAAGCCCCTCGAACTTGTTAGATTTTTTCATTTAAATACTTAAACTAAGTTTTGTTCCTATTAAGCTCTTGAACTCTAATCCAAGTGTACCTATCAGGCACAACTCGCCCGCATGGCACATAAGGTGAGTTCCACTAGAATTTAGCGCGGGGGGACCTATTCTTTTTCTCAAAAAATCTCTCCTTCGTCCTCTCTCCACCTCTACACCTTTACAGCTATAAGGAGCTGAACTTCGAAAAATTATTTTGTATGTATAGGTGTATTTTTTTTTTGTTTGAGAAATACAATCATAATGTTGAATCCACTTGACCTAAGCATAACACACCGGGTAAAGTGGGTTTAATTTTTTAAGAGATCCTCGAGTTAAAATCAATCAACAATAAGTACAACTATTATCCTATATAAACTACTTCTATATTCATTGGAAACGGAAACCTGCACCTTTTTTTTTTTGTTTTACTTTATAGAAATTATAATCTGAGAGAGGTATACCTAAGTTGCATGTTTTGCTTCTTCTTCTTTAAGGTGCAAACCCTATTTCTTTGTACATTACTACTTCAAATGTTTGAACCCGTTTGGTGGACATTTTGAGTCCGAATCATGTCTCCTTTACTAGTAGCCATTGACTTGAACCTCCTGCAATACACAAACAACTCTTCAACCCCAATTCTACCACCACCTTCATCAAATACAATTCTGGAATTGCATCGCAACCATCCAATAAATACACTAGTCCGCTAATCCTCCATTACTAACCCATTTCTACATCTGTAATTTTATCCTAGCAAAATAAACTTTGACTTGTCTCTAACCCCTTTGTACTTTGAGAACAATATACATAATTTACCCACTATAAAAAACAAATAAAAATCACTTGTCATGAAGAAACTAAGCAAAAGCTTTATGGGTGATATCGTGTTTGCTGAAGAAATAACCCAACAAAGTTGATGTCTTTCTCGTCGTCGAACCGCTCCTTTTTGTATTTCTCTAATTGTTGTTTGTGTTGCCGCGTTGGGGGTTGCTCGATCGGTGGTTGAGCACATATATATGTTCCTCTGCAGTAATGCGGGTGGCTGCGATGAATTGCAACTCGGTGAAGGTTGATGATTTCTGCTAATTCCTATGGCATATTGGGAAGATGAACTTGTTCTTCACCTTTGTACGTGATAAGAGGCATGTACTGTGCCAAGTATGTTAGCCAGATAGCGGTCTGGTGCAACAAAGCAGGAGAAGATGGAGAGATGGATTTTTTTCTTTTTGTTCATATTTATTGGGTTTTGAATTATGTCTTCTAGTTTGAGAATCACACAAGTACGCATTTTAGTTGGCAGTTAGAAAAGTGTTGAATAGAAACACTTGGACGAGAGTTCAAGTGCTCAATGGAACAAGACTTAGTTTAATGTTTAAATGAAAAAAATCGAATAAGTTAGAGGGGCTTTGTATGTATTCAGCCTATTGTAAATTTGTCTCTCGCTCGAAAAAGAAAAAAAAAATCCAAACTAAAATTCAATCGTACAATTATTCAAAAACATAATTAGAAAATACTAGGGATGCTTGATTGCTGAGACTAGGATTGTAACTCCGTTATAAAATTTAGGATAATAATTATCCAGTGTTTAGTTACTGTTATTAGCTAATACTGATATAAATTTTATAATAAAAGGTTGATATTATTATCCTGCATTGGATGGAGGATTATAATACAAGAATGAGTTACCTCTCAGACCTTTTATGATTCACCTATAAATTTATAATTAAGGTGAAGTATGAAAACAAATTTTTTTAACTACGACACTAAATTTGTTGTTGTATGTTATTTTTGTTGTTGCTGTAAACTATGGAACCTGCAACCGTTGCCCTTCATGTGTGTTATGAGTAAACCCTGCTCCAGTTCAATAACTCGCAAACCACACTGGATAGGCAAATGTCACTAAGTGAACCCCGTGCAACGAGCTCGATCGGGAAAGCATGCGTGAGTTTCGAACATGCAGCCTCTCATTTTGGGGATCTCCTGTTCAACCAACTCGGCCACCCTTACGAAATTCAAATTATATAGTATATTTTTTGAATTATACATTGTATATCTCATTTTTAATTCAACAAATCTAACAAAGCACTAGCACTAATTAATTTAGGATCAATTTCAATAATAAGTTTCAACATTATAATTCCACCATAAATTTGTTCGCGAAACAAACAATCTCTAATAATTTTAGCTAGTGCTACTGGTATGTTTAATTATCACTACCTTTTTATGATTGCTAAAAAGTTTCAAAGGAAAAAGGTTTTAGTAGGCATTTAGACATAAAACTGTATTTTTTTTAAGAAAAAAATATTTGGAGTTAAGTTAAAAAATGGTATTTGAAATTTAAAATTATGTTTAGACACGTATTTCACTTGAAAAAACTTTTCAAAGTACTTTTTATAAAATTTATGTTCGAAAAATCTCAAAAAACTTATAAATTTCATGAATAAATATGGTTTTTCAAAAACAAATTCGAAAAAAAAAATTTATGGACAAACCGATCCTTAATATGTTCCCTTTTTTCTCCCATTATATATGGGAAAAGCCAAACGGCACAAGCAGCAAGGACAACCATCACATCATTCCCACTCCACCACATCTACCCATTAATTAACTACATCCCATTTGATTCCAAAAATCACCGAGACAAGCATGGAGCTAACAGCACAGCAGCTCAAGGCATACGACGGCTCAGATCCATCAAAGCCAATCTACGTGGCAATCAAAGGTCGCATCTTTGATGTCACCACCGGCAATTCCTTCTACGGTCCCGGCGGCGCATACTGTATGTTCGCCGGAAAAGATGCAAGCAGAGCACTCGCAAAGATGAGTAAGAACGAAGAGGACGTTACCCCCTCGCTCGATGGCCTTTCTGAGAAAGAAATGGGGGTTCTCACTGATTGGGAGAAGAAATTCGAAGCTAAGTACCCAATCGTTGGCACTGTTATTTCTTAATCTAATAAATGAAGTGGGTTTGGGGATCTGGGGTTTTTGTGCAGTTATGAATAAATATAGGTTTTCCTTAGCCTGGTATTGCGTATTTCTCATGGGTCTGTTTGTGTAATAGACAAAATTAACTTGTGACTTTTGTGCAATTACGAATAAATCTAAGGTTTTACTCTTGAGATGTATGATTGATGTGTATGCTGTTTGGGATTTGGAAAGTGGGATGGATAGTGTTGTAGCAATTTGTATTTCAAGTACAACTTATTTAGCACATGGTACAACACTGTTTTGCTCGGATGGAAGGACCATTCAGTTGTGGCATGGGTTCTATAGAACGTGTGCTTTCCCTTACCTTCTTTCACCTTGAAACTCTGCCTCTGTCTTAGCTTCTGCTTCAGGCTACTTCCTCCCTCTTATTTTCGCAGTAGATTTTATAGCCGGAATCTATTATCTTGCTGAATTTTTCTTTTTTGACAGTAAACTTGGCACTTTTGGTCCCTTAATAATTAGGAGTTGCTGATTTTGTATTGAAAGAGCTAAACGCGAGAAAAGAAATCAACATCTCTTCCCTCTATTAACTTGACGCATAGCAATCTAACTGCTTGCTAATGCTTATTTATGCACTGAGTTTTTATTTTTAAGGAATTTATCTGTTTTAAAACCAGATTTCCACGATTTCCCCTCTCTCAATGGTCCATTGGACACACGACGGGAGCTTTATTCCATTTTTTTCTACTATATATATGAAACCATTTATGACTAGAGAACGAAATGTTCCGTTATACTTAGAAAGAATGTTAAAGAAAGTAAAAACCGTAGTGTCTGATAAAGAAGGATAAATTACAGTAAATATAACCAATCCTTCAGAACTTATTAATGCATTATTTACGATTTTTTCTATAACCAAGAAATCCTGAAAGCTTACCCTCGAATCTATGTTGTGTGTCTAATCCATACATCAGGTACTACGCTGTTGGCATTAGACTAAAATCTTGGGGTTGCATTTCTCGTAAATCTGCCCAGTATGTTTACTGATTCCCAACTTTGTAATGAAAAAGTTGCACTTGGTACAAAACTTCGTTGCTTCCATCCACGAATGCTATTGCAACATCTTTTTCACCAAGCCAGCGAGTATGCGTCATCAAAGTGGAAATAAATGTAGATGTTTTGATTTACTAGATCCAACCGGATTATTATAGTTGCTGATGATTTTCAAGTGGAAAGCATCATTTTTGTGGCGATGGATGTTCGTTTCACGCCCATGTTTCCAACCGCGAGAAGTCTCTTTCTGACATATCACCTTTTTCAAACATGTTGCTACCACTTTAGATTTTACCAAACTCTGAAGCTCATTACACGTAATGTTGCACATTGATGCGGACCTCCCTTAGAAGCACAATATCAAATTCTTTAATCAGCTTATTTGCATACAAAGTATGGCATAAACCTATGTTGTATATTCTATTTCCTTTCTCTAGTAGTAGGTAATTCTTAGTAAATACCTTTACATGTGTCTCTATGTATTTAAAGATCTTTCAGGAAACTAATTTTCCTGCAAGGATGCTACTTGGAGCATGTGACTTTTGGTCAGTTGACCAGCTATTAGCTTAATATAAGAACATGATCACGGGAAGGACAAAAAGAAACAAATATGTTCCACTAATTATGAATCACGCTAATCAGTTCGTCAAAGCTATCCACAAATATCTCCATCTTTATGAAACTAAAGTTCTCCGAGGTGTACATTCTCTAGTCCAATAGTAGTGTACATATCCTATAAAAGAATTTAGCTCACTCCACGTATATAATAGCCGAATAACGTCAGCATGAATGTCAATGGTACCTGGGGATGAAACAGGATGTTTCCATTTTCGAGTTATGGTATGCTCCAATAAAAGCGAATGGAATAGTTGTCCTAGCAAGACGAGACAGAATGACATCTTTCCTGTTCAAGCCAATGAGCACACTTTGTCTGGAAAAAAGAGAGTTCTGAGATGTTAGCACACTGAAGACGAAGATCAACATTTAATAACATAAAATCACTTGACTTAGAAAGAGGAGAATATATATATAAAAGAGAAGGGAAAAGGAATAATTTTGGTTTCCGTCCTTTCTTCTCATAGGATCCTTTTACTATCCCTATACAGTAAAAATGGTCGTTGTTGAGCTCCTCGCTTTCTGCTTTCGTGATTTTTTCTCCATTTCCCTCAATTGTATCTAGGGTTTCATGCACACTCGTCAACAAAAAACATTGATCAAGAATACTCTCCAAGGATCACAAGCCAAATGATTTAACAACAACAACAACAACAATTACGGCCCAGTCCCAAACAAGGCCCGAATCCTCACTTCTTTCTTTAAGCTTACTCATATCATCGCCATACCAAATAAAGAAAGTGAACGTGAAACAAGCCAAAGGACTTAACCTGGTTAAAATCAGCACAAATAACACTTAACTGTTTACCTTGTCCGGAGGTGCTACAGCATAGGCGGCTGTCATCTATGTAAGTTGTCTGAAGACCCATCATCCATGATCCAATTGATGTATCTTCATGCGCATAACTCTTTAAGGAAGCACTTCATAACGGAAAAATAACACACTTAGAAACAGATACAAGACCAGAATCAGTGATGTCAGTTTCTTCAACGCAATACATCAAAAAAGAGGAAGAACAACTTATCCAAGAATTTCAATAAAGCAAATGATAACAAATGCTCTTAAGCTATTTAAAAGTCACGGTTAAGCCCTTCCACTATCTTTTTGGCATGATTAAATATTCAGGGTCTTAGCTAGGCCTTCTACGATTTTTGGTCCTGAAATTCCTCTTCCGGTGTCTTCTATTATCGACAGTTAGTAATGCTAAATTTAAGGGTATATTTCACTTTTCTTGTGCTGGTGGAGTAATTCCAATATTTCCATCCAGATTCTAGTGAACCTTCAATTAAAGTCAAATACACCTTTTAAGTTGAATTAGTCTTATCTAGGCCATATATATGTCAGTTAACTCCACCTAACCACTACCATAAAATTGGCCTTTAAAACGGGAGAAAAAAGCAATAGTTTGGAAATCCGGTGCAAATCTTATGTCCTTCACTGTGGGTGTAAGAGGGTTAAAATAGTACATCTAACAAGTTATTTCTGACAAAACCAGAACAGGTTATACATGTATGGCTAACCTTTTTTTTCAAATAACAATAGCTAACCTGTTTATGTTAATATACTGGGCCAAATTTTTGGAAAGCACCAGAACTGAACCAGCTGCATGCCGGAAGTACCTGAAAAGAAATCCATGTCATTCTAGAGTAGAGAGTGACGGGCCAAGAAATTCACCCAGGTACATCGAGAACGTGGACAATTGAAAATTTGGCCCAAACCATCAGTTAAGAATTTCATTTGGAAAGACAAATCCAAGCACTCTCATATGCGCACACACCAAAAATACCCCAAAGCACAGAAAATGCACGATAACTTAGGAAAATGCAAATAGTAATGTGACTGAAAAGCAACTTAACATGCTGCAAACATTAGCGAATTAATGTTAACCCTTTTCAATTGAGGAATTCTTCAACAAACTAATCTAACTAGACGTAAGATATAATAAATTACTCCTCCTTCCTAGTTTATGTGATGCAATTTGACTAGGCACGGAGTTTAAGAAAGAAAGACTTCTGAAACTTGTAGTCTAAAACAATAGATATTTGTGTGGCTATATATCATCTCATTAAGGGTAAAATGACAGGTTTAAAATTAAATTATTTCTAAATATAATAAGGTATCATTCTTTTTGATATAGACTAAAAAGGAAAGTGCATCACATAAATAGGGACAGATTGAGTTGGTTTTTACAAGCAGTTCCAGATATGCCACTTCATAGTAAGATAGATCGATAACATTTACTAAAAGAATATATGCAAAACCTTGTACATAGGCTTGATAGCTGCATCCATGACACTTGAAGAACTAATTCAACCGAAGTCAACCAAGTGAAAAGCATTCTAACCAAATCATCTTACAACTAAAATTACTATGCATACTTTTAGATGTGAGAGAATATAGACCTGGTTTATTACCGATAAATAGACTTAACAGTCATTTGGACATATAAGCATAAGCTTATAGAAAAGCCAAAGTAACTCATACAACAATAAGGAGGCATCAGTTTCTTAGGACTCAGTAATACTTACGATTTCTCATCTCCGAATTTCCACCATTCTGGCTCATACCATGCCCTTCCCCTGGAGAAGGGAAAAGGTGAAATATTAATGCTTGTATACATGATCTTAAGCTGAGTTAAATCTGAATGAAAATCTTACTCTTCTGCAACTACTTCTCCAGATTTCATGCATCCAATGTAAGAACTATTTTGACCACGCCGTTTTTGAAGGAGCTCAATCAACCCATCTGACAGAATAAAGATAAATAGAATGTTAAAAAAGCTCAAATCTAGGGCACATAGATCATAATTCTAGAGGACGGATAAGCAAGGATTTTACCAAGGTCAACATCAATGTTGTCATCAACTTTCACATAAAACTCTGCGTCCCAATTTTGTATTGCTGAACTAAAGAAATATTTAGCTTTCTTGGGCAATTCCTCCTGAGCTTCCTCATGACTTTCCTTTTAAATAATTGGAAAAATATAAATAAGCAAACGTAAGCTGCATATGGAACGAGTTGAAACAAAGTAAACAGAAAATTAGGAGAATGCATGCAGGCTAAGCTCTAACGATTATTTAAACATATGATCATTATTATTAATATGCATTTTTGCAACCAACATGCCCTTACAGCAACGGTTTGGATAGAGCCTAACTCAAATTATGCCACAAAAAAATACAGATAGGTCAGACAAAAATGACTATAACCAAACTTACTAGAATCAAGAAATCTTTTGTTGCTAGGTTCTCCTCGTTAACATTGCGGTCCAAGCTATCACCACGGTTGGGACTGCCAAGTTCAAGTCATCCAGAGATGAATAAAGCCACTAAAATTTCAAATGTATATTTCAAGTTTTCAGTATGCAGCACAAACCTCCGACCAATTACAAATCGCACAACCACTCCTCTTTCTTCAAGTTTCGACAAAGCATCAACTGTCAAAGAAAAGAAAATATTAGATGTGTCAGATGCACCAGCAAGACCTGAATTTTAAAAAGAAAATGTCCAAAGTTGCCTTTATACTATCTGAAATTGCTCAATTTTGCCCTATGTTACACTTTTGGTTCATTCATACCCTTGTCATTACCAAAGTCTTGTATTTTCCCTTGCCATTAAGAGGGGTACAGCAGGAGATACGTGGACTCCGTGCGTATAGGAAAAAGGTCAATATTCACTTGTCAACCTTTGACTATGGTTTAAAAGTACCCTCACATAGAAGCTCCGATATGCGTCAAGGTCTGTGACGACCCGGCCAGTCGTCTCATGAGTTACCGCTCCGTTTTCCCCCTTTCTGCTTCTTTATGCTTTGTTTATCTGTGTTATGTGATATCGGGTTGGTCGGATCGAATCCGGAAGGAATTTAGTAAGGTTTGAGACACTTAGTCTCTTTTGAGGGAGCTTAAGTTGGAAAAGTCAACCGGATGTTGACTTATGTGTTAGAGGGCTCAGAAGTGAATTCCGATGGTTCGGTTAGCTTCGGGAGGTGATTTGTAACTTAGGAGTGTGATCGGAATGAGTTTGGGAGATTCGGAGTAGATTTAGGCTTGAATGGGTGAAGTTGATATTTTGGCGATTTCCGGTCGATAGGCGAGTTTTTGATATAGGGGTCGGAATGGAATTCTGAGAGTTGCAGTAGTTCCGTTGTGTCATTTGGGATATCTGTGTAAAATTTCAGGTCATTCGAACGTGGTTTGGTTGGGTTTTGATCAAAAGCGTAATTTGGAAGATTTTAGAAAGTTTGGCTTGAATCCGATGTGTTTTCGGTGATTTGATGTTGTTTGAGGTGTTTTGGTGATTGGAACAAGTTTGAATAAGGTTTTAGGATATGTTGGTGCCTTTGGTTGAGGTCCCAGGGGCCTCGGGTGAGTTTCGGGTGGTCAATCGGATCATTTTGAAGTTGGAAAAATTGCAGAAGTTGCAGGTTCAGCTGTTGCAGACTTTTACTCTTCGCGTTCGCGAGTGGACCCTCACGTTCACGAAGAGTCAGTGGGGGGTCAGTGGAAGTTTAGCCTTCGCGTTCGCGAAGGGCTGGAGGCTCGTGCATTGCGTTCGCGAGATGTAAGCCGCGTTCGCGTAGGGTCTTTTTGGTCAGCTGGTCTGAGGTCGTGTTTGTTCTTCGCGTTCGCGAGAGAGGGTGTGCGTTCGCGAAGGGTAAGGTTGAGGAACCATCGCGTTCGCGATGGCAATGTCGCGTTCGCATAGAGGAAAAATTGGTCAAAGTAAGATTGTGCTTCGCGAACGCGAGAGTTTGACCGCGTTCGCGAAGAAGGAAATAAGACCTGGGCAGAATGTTTTTAAACTCGTCTTGTCCGCGAGGATTGGGTTTATTTCCTCCATAGTTGGTCATTTTGGGAGATTTTTGAAGGAGATTGAAGAGGGATTCAAGGGGAATTGTTGGGAGGTAAGATTCTTGGACATAAAACTCGATTATTATGTGAATTCCACCTAGAAAATTATGGAAATTAAGCTAAAAATTGAAGAACTAGGGCTTGGAAATTTGGACTTTTGATTGGGGATTTGGAGGACCATTTGGGGTCGGATTTGAGAACTTTTGATATGTATGAACTTGTGGGAAGATAAGGAATCTATTGGTGTAAAGGTTTCTGATTTTCGAGGCGTGGGCCCGGGGGTCGGGTTTTGGTAATTTCGGGATTTGTGTCCTTTATTGATTGTTTTCGTTTGGGCTTCGTTCCCTTAGCATATTTTGACGTCCTCGTTCTGATTTTGGGTAAATTCGACGCGCGTGGAGGCCGATTTGAAGGGCAAAGGCATCGCGAGCTAGAAATTTAGCCGGTTCGAGGTGAGTAATGATTGTAAATGATGCTCTGAGGGTTTGAAACCCCGGATTGCACATCGTAGTGCTATGTTGAGGCGAGACACACGCTTGATGACGAGCGTGGGGTCGTGCACTATTGGGGATTGTGACTTGATCCGTCCCGGTTGATGATTTTACCGTTGTGATGTGAGCTTGAGCCCGAGGGGCGGATCCGTTGAATGCCATATTTGGGCTTCGTGCCAACTATTTGAACCCTTCGGGTATTTTTAGTACTATTCCCTCACTGTTTTAACTTTATACTTGAACTCAGTCATGTTAATTTCGAGTGTTTAACTACTCAACCATGTTTACTCAGTTTTGAAGACTTAAATGATATTTTAAATGATGTTTGGGCTGAGAAACACTGTTTTACTATTGCCGAGAGGCTTGTGATGATTTTTGACTAAGGCCAGGGGCCTACATTGTGAGGAAACACTGATACTGATTTGAGGACGAGGGCCTGAGATATGTACGCCACAAGGTGACTTGATTGATATGAGGCTGAGGGCCTAGTTTTGATGCCACGAGATGGCTTGTTATTGCGCTTGGGCCGTAAGGGGCCCCTCCAGGAGTCTGCACAACCCCCAGTAAGCGCGGGTACCATTGTGATGTGAACTTAAGCCCGAGGGGCTGGTATTGTTCTGAGATGTTGCCCGAGGGGCGGATCCGTATATTGTGCCCGAGGGGCGAACTTCTATTTGTTTACTTTACCTTAACTAACTGTCAATTACTTGTTTACTTGTTGAAGGAGGATTTTACTTGACTTTTCACTGGTTTACTGTTTTTAACTGATTTTACTGCTTCATTATAGAATGCCTTGTGCCTTACGTGTTTTCTTGCTTTCAGTTGTTATTTACATTTGTTACTCACTGAGTTGAAGTACTCACTTTACTCCCTACACCCTGTGTGCAGATTCAGGCGTAGCTGGTTCCGCTCCCGAACGCTGATTCCTCCAGCTTCAGGCGGGCTTTCGGAGATTACGAGGTAGCTGTTGACGTCCGCAGCCCCGTGTCTCTACTCCTTTATCGCTTCAATTTCCTTTCAGACAGTTGTACTAGTTATGGATTTAGCAGAATTGTATTATGACTTATAGATGCTCATGATTAGTGACATCCCGGTTAGGGCTGTGCATGGGTATTCTTCCGCGTATTTATGTTATTATCGGTTATTTCGAATTTATTCTTATCATGTTTAGACTGTTCTTAAATGCTTATCTGTCAATAATTGGAAAATGGAAAGTGTCGGCTGGCCTTGTCATCATGAGAGGTGTCATCACGACCCGGTTTGGGGTTAGGGTCGTGACAAAGTCATAAACTAGACTTTTCCTAATGGGAGGGGTAATAGTAGACCAAAAGTCTAACAGAGACAAAGTTACTCAATTTTAGGTAGTACAAGACAAATTTAACCCTTCTCCCTTTTTAAAATAAAAAATCTGACCAATGTTGCGAAGGTTATGGCAGCCAAATCAGAACTTGTAACCATGAAACTACACACATCTTTCAACCAAAAAGAAGTTTTGTTACTTCTAACTAACATCAGAAAGCTCTGTATCATATTTTGATCAACGGGTGAAAACTTCAAGAACTGTTTTAAAGCAAATAGACTAGCAGTCAAACTATAACTGATCTAGTAACATGTGAAATTTGCGAGCAACCAAACCATGCCTCCAAGATAAGTTTCGCCGTAAAAGAAAATAAACACAGCCAAGATATTTTCATAATTATTACTCTCTTTGTTTCAATTTATATGATACACTTTGTTTCGGCACAAAGTTTAGGGGGGAAAAAGACTTTTGAAACTTGTGATTTTTAAAGGATAAAGGGTAAAAACGTTTTGGGACCATAAATTTTGTGGCTATAAAAGCTTCTCATCAAGGGTAAAATAGATAAAATGAAAAGTTCAAAGTTAAATTGTTTCCAAACATAGAAATGTGTAATTTTTTTTGGAACGAACTAATAAGGAAAGTGTGTCATATAAATTGAAATGGAAGGAGTAATTGTTGTCGTCAGCTTCAAAAGAGAGTATGCCCCAATTTCAGCCAATCCAAATGTTTCTAGCTCAAAATCCACTTGCGTCAGTTAGACCAATAACTCCATCCGTCACAGCATTTTAAAAGCGAAGAGCGCAAAAAAGTGTGTGGGGCTTGAAGCGAAAAGCGAGATGTGAAGGATACGCTTCTGTGAAGAACATTGATGAATTTAGACAACAAAAATTGAACTTCACTTCATGTAAAATGACTAATTTCAGCATCCAGTATACAATGATGCCCAAGTTAATCCAACTCCTCAAAGTTGAGATTCAAAGAAGCGACTTTGTGCGTCATTGTTTGAAGGGCACACTACCCATTGCTTTATATCGTTGCATCGCTTTAGGCAATGAAATGGTTTTAAATAACACTGATCTATCATGATATCATGTCATTGAAAGTTTGAAACAAAGATAACTACACTTGAAGACTTGAAATAAGAACATTTCCATCTTTGCCCGGCCAGTCAAACCATCTTCCACTACTGATCAAAAGGCATTTATTGGGGGTTCTGAACGCATAGAACTGTGCGCACATTTTCAGTGCACAGATAGACATCAAATAGACTAATATCACTAATTTGGTAAGGTCAATAATTTATTGATGTTGGGGAAATTCCTATACAAAAGCAGTTATTCAAGAAGTAGAGAACCTACAATAAAGTATGGTTCTCGACAAAAGTCACCCAACCCAATCATATATACAAGTAGGGACCTCATTGGTGAACCAAAAATAAACTAAGACGAGGCTATTCCTCAAATATACATAATCATTCTCAACCCCTTAAAACAGTATCCTATTTCTCTCCTTCCATATAACCCACATGAGAGCTAAGGGAGCAATGTCCCACGCGATGGGTCTTCTCTTCCTTCTCCGGGAAGCCCAGCTAAAATGGACTAATATCACAATAACAAGCTATGAAAATTTTGAACACACTGAATCCGCTAACAAGTTCTAATCTGAATTTTTACTTTCAGTGTGGCAGCTTCACAGTTACATTAATCCCTAAGAACTTAGATCATAACACATCAATGAGAGATCATTACACATATTAGGAAATACAGAAAATTCATGCCCCAAACAAAATGAGTAGAGACTGACCATTTGGCAACCAAGACCCTCTGATCACATTTCTCCTCAATCTACCTCCGAATCCCGTATAGATTCCTATAACAGCCAGAAGTTGTTTGCCCGAAGATGAACCACTCTGCTTCAACTGATTCTTGAGGTAACCTTGACTCTTAGCCACTGTTAATTCCATTTCGACTTCAACTATTCTCCTCTCCAGATCCCTGGAAAACATATGGATATCTAGATTAGCTCAATTGCAATTGTCCGCACATGCTCGTATATGCATTTATGTTAAGACAAAAGAAAAAAGGAATCTGAAAAACGTACTTGCATCCTAAAACCATTAGCTTGTCTTCAACTGTCAGCATCTTTGGTCTCTGCCATATGTATCCAATGCAATATTAGGATTTAGGAAGAAAGAAACAGGTTAAAGAACTAGCTAAAGTAAGTAATATCAGATGCTTTGAATCTCAGACAAGAGTTGAAGCCAACTCCATTTGAAATTGTGAACCAGCATTAGCATATGCAGTTTAAAACCAGCAGGTCACAATTTGCAAGTAAACTACTGCATAGACTTGTCCGTGGGCGTGGCACTATTATAACTGAGTCAATAATCCAATATTTGAGCCACTGATCAGACCATTATTAGCATCTCCTGAACATGTAAGGAAAAACTTCTCCTGTCTAGGAAACATTGCCCTTTATCAATCATCGTGTAATTTCCAGAGCATTCCAAGTTCAGTAACAATAGGGCATTATCTTTCACTAGGACATCGAAATAGCACTTTACATTTCACAATGTTCACATGCTTTCCTTTCCAAATTTCTCGTAGCACAAAGAACTCCTTATGTCTTGATCTATATAACACTATTAAATTTTGGAGAGTCAAATGGTTAATTTTCAAACATTTGTTTTATTTTTTAAGAAGTTTACAAAAGATTCTAATTGCAGTAATTTTAATGCAGTTTATAAAAATGTAAACTTTATTTCACAAATCAAGTGAAATATATCCAAAATTCACCAGAAATTAGATGTTTTAACCTCGTAATCCAGATCATCGAGTGCAAAATAAAACTATGTATAGAAAAGAAGAACAAAACCTGCTCTGAGTTCTTCTTCAAGAGACTACCTAATACCATTCTGTACTCTGCATCTTGCCATAACCTAAAAACAATAATCCCAAGACATAAAACTTCATATAAAAAATCAATCAAAGCATAACTTAACAAAATTAACACATTGGAGAATATGCCTATAAATAAAACAAAAAAAACAAAAAAAAAACATAAAAGCGGACCTTCCGGCGACATATAACCAAGCGAAGCAAGAGATTAATGCCATTACTAGAGAAGGTTTAGATGTTTGACTAGACTTTGATTTTGACCGCCTTTCCGATTTTGACGACGACGAAAACGACGTCGTTGGCAAGATGCTCTCCATGTCTTCCCAATTTGTGTTCTGTGAAAACAATACTGGAGAAGACAATTTAGCGAAAACGCTCGATCAAATTGAGAGCATTCCTAGATGTGGAATATTCTAGATGATTCGGAAAGTAATCAGTGTAAATTACGGAGATCTCAAGAATAAATCTTCTTGAAATTGGAACTTCGATCGATTGATTGATTTGAAAAATGAGTTTTGGAGTTTTCTAGCAGAGCGGTTACTTCAATGGACGGGGAAGTAATAGAAACTTTGTGTTTAAGGTTCACTTTAGCCCATCTATTTTTATCTTCTCTCACTTTGCCCCTTTTCTAGATTAATTTAGGAGCTTTTTTCCCCTCTCAATTTAGGTAGGAACTTTCCAAAAATCAGCTGTTGCTTCACAGTTGAAAGATTTTCCATGTGGTTTTTAATTTGTTAAGGAGATTTTTTATTCTATAAAAATATACATATAAATATTTTCTTTTGGCAAAACTTAAATTTGGTACCGGTCAAACTGATTAAGAGTTGTTCATTCAAATGACAAATGAAAGTGAAATTTTATAAATTAAATTTGAAAATTAATCACTAAGAGTGCTTTTTGTGGTAATTATTTATACCAAACTTAATAAAAGTAAAAATTTATAAAAACAACCTTTAGCATTGTGATAAGGATCTAAAAGGTTGGATGGTATTTTTTTTCAAGCTTATAAGTTGCATCCAGGCAATCGTTAGTTAGGCTTAAATTGGAAATAAAAGCTTATTACATGCACCCAATAAAATTAATGGTATTTATCAAGTAGAACTTTAGCCTAGCTCATACTAGGGCACTGAATCCATTAATGTGATTATTCAACAGATATGGAATTTGTTTGTTTTATACTTTTATTTCACAACCTAACAAGATACTACTAATAATTTATTTTTCTTCCTTTTGCGCATGAAAGAAGCAAGAGGTAGACTACAATATATCTCTCAAACTTAGAGGTTAGCTTGGAAACCTATCTATTAGAGTGTATAGCATTAATTATTAATTTCAATGCAAGTTTAGATTCTGATAGTCTATCAATCTTATAATATTCCAAATATGCACGTTTTCTCTCACGTAGTTCTAGAGGTTGGCAATGGTGCCTTGACCAAATTCCAAAATAAGAAGACTTGGTAAATTCAATAATGATAGTTGGTTTGTGTGCTATTACTCCGAATGTCCTTTTCTTTTTTGGTTTTTGTGCTTTATTTTTCCCTTTCATTTGGTTATTCTCATTATAAAATGCTAAAAATTTATTTATTCACACAAATAAATTAAGGCTACTAAATGTTGTGAGCGAGAACAGACATAACAAGTTGGTAAATTTTCCCATATAGAATTCTTCTTCTTGATTAAATTATGTGAACAGAAACTAATGATTTTCCTGCTGATTTAGTTGCTTTCTCATTAAAAGGCACATGAATGTTTGCATGAGGCGTGCGTAAAGCTTTCTGGTCAGGAATGAATTCTTCAGCAAGCTGGTATTTCATATGTTCTTATGTCTCTTTCTCATATCCATTTGTAATTTCGTCTTTTGGGTTATGGTACTTTTCTCTTTTATTGTTTTCATGATTCAAGCCCAGATTTAGAATTGCTCCTATATCTATATATGATCCTTTCGGATTTAAATTAAGGTAGTCTTAATTAAAATACAGGAAGGTCTTATGAAGCTACTTAGAGGATAAAGGGGTCCTGGTTGCCTACATTAGGGTGATTAAAGACATGTATGTTGGAGCTAAGACTCGGGTTAGGACAGTAGGAGGCGACTCTGAACACTTTCCAGTTATTACGGGGTTGCACCAAGGGTCTGCGCTCAGCCCATTCCTATTTGCCCTGGTGATGGATGCACTGACTCATCATATTCAAGGGGAGGTTCCATGGTGCATGCTATTTGCTGATGACATTATTCTAATTGACGAGACAAGAGGCGGCGTCAACGAGAGGCTAGAGATTTGGAGACATGCTCTTGAGTCTAAAGGTTTCAAGTTGAGTAGGACGAAGACGGAATACCTCGAGTGCAAATTTGGAGTTGAGCCGACGGAAGCGGGAGTTGAAGTGAGGCTTGACTCTCAAGTCATTCCCAAGAGAGGTAGTTTCAAGTACCTTGGATCGGTTATTCAGGGGATCGGGGAGATCGATGAGGATGTCATACACCGTATAGGAGTGGGGTGGATGAAGTGGAGGTTAGCGTCCGGAGTCCTGTGTAACAAGAAAGTGTCACCGTTACTAAAAGGTAAGTTTTATAGAGGAGTGATTAGGCCTGCCATGTTGTATGGGACTGAGTATTGGCCGGTTAAGAACTCACACATCCAGAAGATGAAAGTAGCAGAGATGAGGATGTTGAGGTAGATGTGCGGGCATACAAGGATGGATAAGATTAGGAATGAAGATATTCAAGAGAAGATGGGCGTGGCCTCCATGGAGGACAAGATGCGGGAAGCAAGACTCAGATGGTTCGGGCACATTCAGAGGAGGAGCACTGATGCACCAGTGAGGAGGTGTGAACGACTGGCTGTGGTGGGCACGAGGAGAGGTAGAGGGCGGCCTAAGAAGTATTGGGGAGAGGTGATCAGACAGGACATGGCGTGACTTAGGATTACTGAGGACATGGCCCTTGACAGGGAATTGTGGAGGTCGAGCATTAAGGTTGTAGGTTAGGGAAAAGTTCTAAATATTTCAACAACACAATAGAGTGAGACTAGCTAGTTAGGAGTTAGTCTGAGGATGCTATTGGTCGTCTACTGATGCAGGGCTTTATCTGCTGGTTTTTACTATACCATCCATCTATTTCGTATTTCGTATTCCGTATTTTGTATCTCTTATATTGCTGTTATTTTATTATGAGTCTATTGGTGGTACTAATATATCGTCTCTTGTTGCTTTCTTGAGCCGAGGGTCTTCTCGAAACAGTCTCTCGAATAAGTTCTGCGTACATATTATCCTCCCCAGACCCCATTTATGGGATTATACTGGGTCGTTGTTGTTGTTGTCAATTCCCTGCGATAACACAAGTTTTTCTAATCATTAACCCTTTGTTAGTCTCATCTATTTCTACTAAGCGTCACTTAAACATGCATTGATTAAGTTTCCGTTAATATTGGATATTGAAGTGTAGTATGGTTTCACCGGAAGGAACTATATTCCCTAAAAATAGATCTTTTCTTATTTTAATGTTATTCTGTTAAATAAAAAAAAATTCATGTTGAGAGTGATAATATGCCTTATTTCTTTATTTTCTTTAAATCTATCAATTCTATGTGTAGTTTATTTGTTGATGTTCTTTAAAAAATAATTTTTAGATTTTCGCTTGAAATTTGGGGTTTTAACTTGATTGATGTTCTAGAGGTAAGAAATATTTTACATTCATACCATCACTTTATCTTTGAAAGAATTTTATTTATTCTTTTTTTTTTCGATGATCTCATTGTGCAGGAACCTTCAGTGATTATATATAAATACTAATGAAACAACAGGTAAAAAAATAGCGTCTTGAAGACAAAAATATCATGAGCGAGTTCAAGAAGAAAACTCACTTAATATTTTGATGGAACTGATCGAAGTGGAGTATTACACTTTCCTCTCTATAGTTTAATACTCTACTCTTTTTTCTCTTCTTTTGTTTCTTTTATATGTTTTATTTATGGAAGACGGTAAAAAATGTGATTGGTATAGATGAATTTTATGAGATAAGGAATTTTTTTAAGATGCTGGTCCATGTCCAGGAGGAAAAGGGATTTTGCCTATATTTAGGGTAACGATTTTTGTTGAATAAGTCCCGGGTAAGAAAAAGTTAGAAGGAAGGAAATAAAGAAAAAAGGAAAAGGAAGACATGAAAAATGAGAAGAAAATGAAGCACCAAAGGGAACATTAGAACAAGGAGCAAGAAAATAGGTACAAAGTATTTTAAAACTAACATGAGTACCAAAAATACACGATAACATTTATTTTATACATTACCGTTTGAGAATATTTTTGTAAGTGTTTGAAAATTTTAAGAACAAGGATGAAGAATTATCTTAAACTAACAGATGCCAATATTTGTTTCACTTTCTCAAGTACTATTTTGACACAAATAGCGTTTCAACTGCTTTTTAAAAGTATTTTGTTGGTAAACTTTCTAAAAATATTTAGAAAGAATTTTTATGAGAATTTGAATAAATTATCTTTGAATAGACAAGTGAAATATCAAGAACGTACTCAAAAGCTATTCTTTGTGAACAAATTTTGATTGCTATTAAATACTAAAGAATTAATCTAATCACAAAAATCAAGACCTTAAAATTAAGAGATATAACTAAAATCAGAGTTTGCTTAAAATAAATTTTTATTAAAGAACATAAAGATACATGAATTGAAACTATCTTTTGTTGAGGTAAAAAAAAAGGATGATACCTAATCAAAGGCTTATTTCCTTTGGGAAGCAAAAGACAAGAAAAGTATAAGAGAAATTCCTATATATATTCAATTAAATTCTTTATATCACTTTTAAATTAGATAAAGAGGAAAAAGCATGTTTCTTTTACTTCTTTTGCACTTGTACCAAACAACTAAGAAAGTAAACTATGAATCCTTTATGCGAATGAAAAAAATAATAACTTGATCTCCTTTATCTTCATCCTTCCCTTTGTTAAACATACGTGATATGAAAGAACTAGAAAGTTTTAAATTAGCTCTTCACAATCTATTTTTTAAATTTTGTTAAACATTTGAATATTAGTAAAAGATCATTCCATACATGAATATAATATGATCTTTTATGACCGCGCGAAGCGCGGTAAGTTCACTAGTTTTGTATAATCATCACTTACTTTTGAAATGAAACCTTGATGTAATGTATATAATCTGCATATTTAATCAACTAGTAGTAGTTTAAGTCTTTTTCCATTCCATTCCATTCCATTTCAGTTACTTATACATAATTTGAAGCCAAAAAAATAAAAAATTTATATAGCTTTTCCACAAACTAACTGATATTCTAACTTGATCGTTGTAACATTTCCCCTTCCCTCTACGGCATACCCCTCCCCAATTGCATTTGCCCAACCTTTATGCTCGATCAGCTTGTTTACACTTCAAATATTCCACGGAATACCTGCTATCTCTCGTCAGCACAAGTATGAAGCCCCGCCAATTATTACAACATTTTTCAGAACAATCTACTTTAAAACTCAAGTTTATTGAGATCTATTATTCCCACCATGTATCC